GAGGAAACCATAGCCAGGCTAAAGGCGCAGCAGGATATCGATAAGGGCGCAGGCAGTGCTAACGATGCCTCACTGCAGTATACAGTCGAGACCTTGAAACGCGAAATGCGGGACAAGGACCAGGATATCGAGGAGCTACAACAGAAGTTAAAGCAGCTGATGGGCAGCGAAGACGCATCGACCACAGTGTCGCCGTCGCGTAGCCGCGTCGCGCAACTCGAGCGCGATCTGCGCGAGCAGTGTGCGTACATCAAGGCTATTGAGCAACAGAACCGCAAGTTGGGTGCGGAAGTAGGCAGGCTTGCAGACACCGCCGGCAAATACGAGAAGGAGCGCGAGACGGTTATTGCGCTTCAAGCCAAGGTTCAACGGCTGGAGGCACAGCAGGAGGGCCGTGCCGAAATAGAGGCTCGGCTGGATGCCATGCAGCAGGAGCGCGAACAGTGGAGTCGCGTGCTCAACGATGGCAGCGATCAGTCGCGGCTGGATTCGCCATTTGCCATTGCCAAGACTGTGGCATCGCAACGCCATACCATCCGCATGTTGGAGTCAAAAGTCACCACTCTGCAGGAGAATGCAGAGTCCGCCAATGAGCATTTACAGAGCACAGCGCGGGATGTGCAGCTTTACCGCCAAGAGTGTGCGCGCCTAGAGAAGGAGGCTGCCATCGAGAAACATCGTGCTACGCAAATTGAGCAGTCGAAGCAACACGCCGTGCGCGAGGCCGAGTTTTTACGCACTCAACTGCACTCGTACGACCGCGAAGAAGAAGAGCTAATGGGTGGCAACTACGACCGCCAAAAGGCCGAGCGCATCCGCCAGCTGGAATTGTTTATTGACGAGCAGCGCGCATGGATTTCCGCTACACAGCCGGGTGTCGCTGTACAGGATGGCGCTTCTTCGGCACCTTCTGCTGGCGCTGACGGTGTGTCGACTGCACTGCTGCAGGGCTATCGTGAGGATGCTGAGTCGAAGCAGCGCGAGCTTGAGGAGGTCAAGACAGAGCACCAGCATCTGTTAAGGCGGTTTGAGGATCTCGAAAAGGAGGCAGCGCGTCTGGAGCACCAAGTTGGCTGTGGGCTGGGCTATAATCCGCGCACAACACGCATCCTGCAGCTTATTGACAACCCGTCGGCCCAGGACTATGCCATTCGTTCAGAAAAGCTCAAGGCCCTGGCCGCCGAGAATGAGGCGTTACTCGAACGTATCCGTCTTCTGGAGAAGTCAAATGAAAACAACGAAAGTGATGGCAACAGCGATACTCCGCCGGATGATGCTACTGGTGCTGGATCAGCGTTTTTCCATACCATTGATAATCTACGCTCTGAGAATCAAAACCTCACTCGCCAACTTGAAGACTCTGCTAAGCTAATTAGCAGATATAAGAAAGAATGGAAGAAGAAGGCCGCCGAACTGCGCGAGGTCGTGTACCTGATTCTAGGATATCGTGTGGACTTTATGTCCAATGGAAGTGTCCGCTTTACTTCCATGTATGCCGCCGGCGTCGATCAGAGTTTTGTGTTTACCAGTGGTGACGATGATCAGGGCGTTATGCGTCTCTCTGGGGGCGGCAGCAAGACCTATTTGAAGGGTCTTACCAACGATATCCGTTACTGGGTCCAGGAACGTGGTAGCATTCCAGGCTTCCTGGCAACTGTCACTCTACAAAACTTTGAGGCGCAGGCAGATCAAAATTCTCAGCAACAGTAGTGATACTTATTGCATTATATCTTTCCTTTCAAGGAACTTGCCATTATAAGCAAGTATTGTTTTTTTTTTTTTTTTTTTAGCAAAAAATGTTAGTGTTTGGAGGAGTCTATTTTCGTGACAATTGACATGAATGGTTTATATTAGAAGAGCAGATTGTTTGCGTTGTAGATGGGAATGTTGTATGTGCATAAGTGGAGGGGTTGTTAGCACTGTGGTTGGCGCTGGTTTTGCGCCGCAAACAATGGAGTAGGAAGCATCCGATGGATATTAAACATCTCACGGGACCTTAGTAGCAGTGGTAGTGGAAGTGAGAGAGCTGTTAGCAACTGCAACAACCCATGAAACATCAACACTAATGGAATTGAACTGTATCTGTTCTTGCTAGACACAACCTGCAAATGCCAACCACATGTGCATGTATATCGATATGGAGAAATAATATGTATTTTTTCCTTGGCTAAACAGACTAAATATCTAATCATATCCCTTTTAAATGTCGTTGGCTGCGCAAAGAAGCTTCGTAAGCTGTTCAAACTTGATGCTCTCCTTGATAACCGTAGTCTTTGCCTCGTTCTCGCTCTTAAGTGGTAGCGACACGACTCCAGCGGCATCTACATCCCAACCATGCTCCTTTGCTAAACGAAGCACAGCCTCCTCATCAAGGTTAACCATCTTCCCAATCAACTTGGCTTGAATAGTCTGGTACGTGCTAGTAATTTCTGCAAGAATTAACTTGCGCAGTCCATTGTCAAACCCTGCAATGCCATCAACAACCGACTCCTCATCATCATCGTCATTTCCGTACATCTCACTCCAGAACCCATCAAACTGCGCTTTCTCCAGATAATCTCTGAGTACAAGCAACTTGGCTATCGATATGTCCTTGCAAATATCATCCGAAAGAAGATACAGACACAGGTTAAAATCCCCCTGCGACGTCGATATCAACGCTTTTGCTAGAATGCGTCGGATAACGTCTAGATCCATCATGGGTGGATTGAACTGGTACATTTTTAGCAACGCTAGATTTGCCATCAGATCATGGTTCGTATTCGGATCGGGATTGGCACACTGATGTGCAAGGTAATCTTCCAGTACACCTATTTTCTGAGGATTGTATCGCTCAACTCCTGTCAGTAGGTTGTGGATTTCGTCTGGTCGAGTCGACGGACGTGCAAATGACGTTGCGGTTGACATTCTATAATATCTCTCCTTTGCCAAATGTCCAAGTGTGCAAAATGCCAACAATAATAAGAAAGTAAAGAATTGTGCCAATTAGTTTACTGAGCATTTCTTGCACTGAACACTTTTTTTTTTTGTTGTGGCTCGGCTCGATGCTTACTTTTCAGCTTTAATTCCTTGTTCTTCGAGTCAGTTGTTATTTGTTGCTTCTTGTTTTTGGACAAGTCAACCATACACTTCTGTGTCCTTTAAAAGCTGTGCATTGCATTCTGACTCATTTCTTGCTATATTTTATTCTTTACGTTTACAAAAGAGCAAACAGGAGTATGGAAACTGGTTTCACAACTTACAATAAGAGCGAATTCATAGAAACCGACACTGGAAACAAAGTTAGTCGACTGTCTCTTATTTCGGGCAGTCAAAATATTGTGCTTGGTGGGAAGACCATAGTTCATAGCAAGTGCACTATACGCGGTGATCTACGACGTGCCGGTCCCAGTCATCAAGCAGCAGTACTTATCGGTCGCTTCTGTTCACTTGGAGAAGCATCTGTATTGCGCCCGCCTTACAAAACATACAAAGGGGTTTTCAGTTACTATCCGCTTAAAATTGGGGATCATGTTGATATAGGCGAGAACTCTGTTGTTGAAGCTGCCTCTATTGGATCGCACGTCCGAATCGGCAAGAACTGTATTATTGGACGCTTTGCCATTATCAAGGACTGTTGTCTGATCGAGGATAATGCTGTCGTTGCGCCAAATGCTGTCATTCCGTCTTTTTCTGTTGTTGCTGGCGGCCCTCCTGCAAAGATTGTCGCTCAACTTCCAGAATCTACTCAAGACGTCTTTGAGGCTCAGTCAAAGGACAACTATGCAAAGTTTATTTCTGTATAGGCTTTCAACCGCTGTTTATTTACTGATATATAATCTGTATATGTTGTTTAAACGTGTATAAACTGTTGTTATTACATTTTTTGCAGTTGCGTAAAAAATTTGTATACAGGAAAGAGTATTTTCTTTAGATCTGAAAATCCAAGTAGGCGGCAGAAGCCTAGTTTGTACGTGTCAGTTTGGCCGAGTGGTTAAGGCGACAGACTCGAAATCTGTTGGGCGTTGCCCGCACAGGTTCGAATCCTGTAGCTGACGATTTTTTGTTGTTTTTTACAACATTCTGAAAACGCAACTTGCTAACAACGCATTAATAAATTTGTTCTGTTGCTGTATAGTACGATGCAAGGTTTAATGCTCCTACTCTGCTTGATTTTTTTTTTTTTACTAAATTTGAAGGACCTCACAGACCTATATTACACGTTGATATTACATTATTGCTTTAAAAGCATAAGCATAAAAATCATCGTCAAATATTGGAGTAGTTCTTTTTGTGAGGCTTTCAAAAAAGTATTTTTTGCTAATAATGCATGGAGTTTATCTTCGCATGTAAACAGCATACTCGTCTTTTTGTATTGTAAAATTTTGCCAATAACTATTGAAACGCTATTTTTTATATCTACCACAAACCATGAGACCAATAGCAGAGAGTATACAGAAACAAAGCACTGATTTAACCAATGCTGGCCATTCAATAAGACAAATACATACTGAAACTGGTGTTGGTATATCAGCAATTAGCAAAATATGCAAAACATGTAGAGGAAATGATTTAAAGAACAAAGGTGGTCAGCCCCAAAAGCTCACTGATAGAGATTTTCACTAGCTAGCAAGACTTGTAACTACTGGAAAAAGCGAATAGTATCACCATGGCAGTACACATACTTTCTCAAGAACTCCCATCTTCTATTACTGCAGATGGTGCATGATGTGCATTAAAAAAAAAAAAAAAAAGCTGGTATGAATGATATTATAGCAAAACGCAAGTTATTATAGTAAAATATAGAGTTTAAAAATAAGCTCACCAATAAATTGTTTGCTCTAATCCAGGCAGAGGTGTGTCCCTACTCTGGCATAAAGCTCAGGGTATAGTAATTTAATACAAAAATAGCAGAAAAAAACCATAAAAAATATTTTAATCGCTATTCAAGCTCATTATATTGGTATACGTACAATTTTTCGAGAGGTGCAGAATGAGCCAAATGGGCTTGTATATTAGGTGGTTTTGTGGTCTAGCGGTATGATTTTCGCTTAGGGTGCGAGAGGTCCCGGGTTCAAGTCCCGGCAAAGCCCCTTTTTTGCCGTGTATTTTTTATGTTAGCCCGTGTATATTTTTGTAGTTAATGTTGTTGCTGGAATGTATTGTTCTGCTTTAGATTTAGTTAATTTTTTTTGATGTTTATAAAATGGAAGTGTTCGTCTAATCATGTGTTTCAGAACATGGGTTTTGCAGATTTAACACACTAAAACTGCTGAAAACCGATCACATGCACTTATCCAAAGTGAAACGCAGATGGCCTGTGCTCAGCGTGGCGGAGCAAGAGTTGATAATGTATGCTGCGATGTCAGCAGTATATGCAGAATCCCCCTTAGTGGCTATTACGTGGCAGTAAGAGGCTGGCTGACATCAAAACTCAAAGGGGCAGATGAAAAGCAGATGAGTATTTCTCCCTCTGACGGCGTTTCAGGCCTGGTTCAGCCACGCATGCAGAACAAACAAGAATTAGACAGCGATGAACAATGGACTTCATGTCCCTAGCGCCTGTGCATAAGGTGCTATTTGGACGGTCCGAGCAGAACGAGAATAGGGAAATGAGTGGTAGCTGAGCTAGTCGCGAAAATCGTCAGAAGCAGGTGGGGTCGCGTGCTTCTGCCGAGCAGTCCACAAAACCTCCAAAAGAAGAAACGGGTTGATCTGCGATTGGTTGTAGGGGAGTGCGGTTATACGCATCTGGTTGCCCCGTGCACAATTTCCCCTTCCCCTCCTTTCCGGAACCAGCCGGGTGATGCACATCGGGCATACGCGGGGAGAGGGGGACGCGTTTACACGGGCTTGCAGCCACAAAGTCCGAAAGTAAAGCGTGGTCAGAAAGGGGGAGAGTAAATGCGGAAGGAAGCTAGTGAAAAGAAGCAAAGGGATGAGTTTGTGCTATTTAAAACGATGTCAGGGAGCCCTCTTTTTTTCTGTGCAGCAGCCCCAACTTGGCATTACACTCACCATTTGCACTCACGGTCAACTACATATACGATCTATTTTATAATAATTACTATTTGCGCTGTCGCGGGGAGGTTTTCTTGCAAGCATCCATTTATTCAATTTGATGGCACCTGGAATGGACAACACTACTACCGATTCTGGAACTAGCTCTGCACGGCGGTCGCGCAGTGGATCTCCCGATCTCATTGCGTCGAACGCTGGCACTGCGTTGCCGTATGCCACACGTTCAGCACTGCATCTGAAGGGCCTGGTTCCATCAGGCGTTGAGAATTTTGCAGTGCAGGAGCAGCGGGCGTTAGAGCAGCTGAATATGAAAAGCACAAATCTGGAAAAGTACATTTTCCTGTCGTGGCTGCGTTCGACCAACATCAACTTGTTCTATCGTCTGGTTTTGCATAATCTCAAGGCAATCGCACCAGTCATCTATACGCCAACGGTCGGCCAGGCGTGTCAAGAGTACTCGCATATTTACCCGTTCCTCGCGCCTCCCAACGCAGTCGACGGGCTGTACATTTCGCTGAACGAGGTCGAAAACATTGGCGAGATTATCCAGAATTACAAGGAATCTACAGCCGAGGGCGAAGAGCCTGAGATCACAGTCATCACCGATGGCTCACGCATTCTGGGCTTGGGCGACCTGGGCATGAACGGCATGGGTATCCCTGTGGGCAAACTACAGCTTTATGTTGCTGCGGCCGGCCTAAACCCTGATCGCTGTTTGCCGATTGTGTTGGACTTTGGCACAGATACTGAAAAGTATCTCCAGGATCCGTTGTATCTAGGTATTCGCCAGCGCCGGCCAAAGGACGGGGCGTTCTACACTGCCGCAAACCGCGTCATCGAGGCCCTGCACTCTGCATTCCCGAAAATGTTTATCCAATTCGAAGACTTTAGCACTGACCATGCCTTTGGTCTTCTGGATCATTGGCGCGAAAAGGCGCTATGTTTTAATGATGACATTCAAGGTACCGGCTGCGTTGTGCTGGGTGGGTTTATCTCAGCAGTTAGCCAGGCGGGTATTCCAGCCAAGGACCAACGCATCCTATTTGTTGGTGCTGGATCAGCGGGTGTTGGTGTGGCCAAGCAGCTGGTTGACTACTTTATTATCGAGCACAATATTCCTGAAGAAAAGGCCAAGGCCATGTTCTGGTTTGTCGATTCACGCGGCATGATTACAGCCAACCGTGGCGACAAGCTGGCACAACACAAAGTGTACTTTGCACGCCAGGACAATGGCGACACACAGTGCAACTCACTGGAGGAGACGCTTGAGTACGTCCGTCCTACAGCACTGGTTGGTCTGTCAACCATCTACAAGGCGTTCAGCGAGAAGATACTTACGCGTCTAAATGAGATGAACCCTACTGCTCGCCCAATCGTCTTCCCACTGTCGAATCCCGACACGAAGGCAGAGTGCACATTCGAGGAGGCCATGCGGTGTACAAATAACCGTGTACTGTTTGCTTCAGGCACTGCTTTCCCCGAGTACACAATTCCAGAGACTAACAATGTCGTGGTGCCGGGCCAGGCCAACAATCTTTACTGCTTCCCGCCCATCGGACTTGGTGCAGTGCTTTCAAAGCCAGAGTGGATCACAGACACAATGATTTTTGCTGTCGCCAAGGCGCTGGCAAACTCACTAAGTGAAGATGAAAAGTCGCTGGGCGAACTGTACCCGCGTATTGAACGAGTACGCGAGACCTCGGCACAGCTGGCTGCTGCGTTTGTGCACCAGGCAGTGCGCGAGGGGCTGGCCAGGGACGACAAGTGGGTTGCCCTTGTCAAGGCCAACCCAACGACATCTGCCACATCCCAGTCGCCTGACGGCACATTTTCGATGGCTGTTCTTAACGAGGTTCAGAAGTACATGTGGCTGCCGGCAGAGAACTACGAGCAGCTGAGGAACTCACTCCCGCATTATCACCACCACCCAACCGTCCCGTATTCGGGATCTGAAAAGTTGTGATGACATACCATCTGCATTATTAGAATTTATATCTGCATAACGCTGTTTTGTTTGTTTTATTCGGTTTTTTGACTGTCTGCTTTCTAAACACCTATCGTATACCATCCGATGATGAAAGCTATTTCCAATACCATCAAGACGCTGTGCAGCTCTCCAAAGATGCGATGACTGCCAGACTTGCTGTTGGTGGTATTGTCATTTCTGGTGTTTGGCAGTGATACTGCATGTGATGAAAGATGTATATGCGGGGCCTCAAAAAAAGAGCTATGATAATGGAAGAGAGAGAAAGAGCAAATCTGGATAATGAAAAGCGCCGCTCGAATCGGCTGAAAGTTACTCACTTACCGCCAAAGACACTCCAGTTAGGCTTTGTGGGGAACTCGGTCTCCCACTTTACATTCTGCGCAAAGGAGAAGTGGTCGTTGACAGGCAGATTGTGGAATGAGGCCTTAATCTCATCCTCAAACTTGAGCTTGTTCTTTGACGAGCTCATCATGACCTGCTCGGGATCAAATCCAGCACCGCCTTTGTAGGCATAGTTGAACGAGCGGTGCTCAAAGGCCTCTGTACGTGCCTTGTCGGGCTTGTCTGCGTGGACATGGCGGAAGCTGTTCATGTGCTTGTGCTCATACGTGCGCGCTGTCCCTGCTTTTGCGTTTTCCTGGTGCTCGTGCTGATGGTAGTAGTGCGAGCGATCGTGAAAGTGCCGGCGCTTGCCATCGCACTCAACCTCGTGGCCCTCCTGGTCGCGGTCCAGCGACAGATGGTCGAATGCGCGCGCCAGGCCCGCCGTCGGGTTAACCATGTGGTCTGAATGCTGGATGTGGCGCGTGCGTCGGTCTGCTTCGCGTCCGGTGCCCAGCTCACGATCTGCCTGCTCGTTGTACAGCGAGTGGTTAAAGTGTTGTGTGTGGTTCTCATCTTCCCACATAGCCTTGGTCTCCTTGTACGTACCGTAGCCCTCGTTTGGCTTGGTAATGGTGCCCACCGGTGGTTTTCCAGCAAAGTCCGCCGCGCAAAAGTCTACTACTGCCTTCTCCTCTTTCTTCTTCTTTTCCTCCTCAACCTTCACGGTCACCTTGACCTCTTCCTTGACTTCCTCGCACTTCTTTGGCTCCTCAACCTTGATAGCCACCTTGACCTCTTCGCACTTTGGCGGTTCGACCTTGCATGGCTCCGGCGCCTTGCTGGGCGGAAACATCAGCATAATGCTCTCAATTGTGCCGTGGCAGAACACCTCGTCCTCGCACATACCCTTCTTTGGCGGCGGCAGATGCGCTGCGATATTGTGGATGTAACGGAAGCCCTCATAAATTGTTGGACGCGTCAGCAGCCGGTCAAACCGCGCTACTACCTCTGCGCCAAACTTCCCTTCAACGCCTGTCGGATGTCCATTGCGCGCCTTTACACGCTCTTTGCATACCTTTACGTCCACGTCAAAGAAAAGAGCGTCTACTGGCGCAAACGCGTCTTCGGCAATTTTCACCCAAATCTTCCGCTGGTCTTCGTCAAAGTTGCACCGGTCAATGACCACGTTCTTGCCATCTTTCAGACATTTTGCTGCATGTTGCTCGCACAACGAGCGTGAGCCCATCTCGTCCTGGTTGATGCGCTCCCAGGTCGGCATATGCGCCGCCATGCGCCTGGCAAACGCTGTTTTGCCGCACCCGGGCAGCCCGACGAGAACAAGCATCTGAGGCATCGTGGGCTATATTATTCTGGTCCGCCTATGTGTGTTGACCAAATAGTCAGACTAGCGTTGTTGTCTAGTGTCACAGTGGATATTACAGAATACGAAACTAGAGTTAGCTTACAGTGATAGAGAAAAGAATAAATACGAACGCGCAAAGGGAAGAAAGATGAAAATGCGCTACGGCTTCGTGGCGTGCTCAAGTAAACAAAAAGAAAAAAAGGGCGCTTTGAAAGTTAAGCTGCAAAGTGTGTAAAGGGGTCTTAGTTTAGTGCCGCAGGAACTGCCCCCATTCCCTTTTAAGAAAGAAACAGGGCGCTGCAGGAGTTTTAAAAAAAAAAAAAAAGCAGATAATTAATGCGCACAAAGCGAATAAAGGACCACAGGCTTTAAAGGAAAGAGAAAACGAACTGCACAAG